AGTTACTGAAGTCGAGATGTCATGTCAGGACCGATAATATTAGAGACACTTTTTCGAGAATCTCTAGATATATTACAGGAGCAACAGACCAGATATGGAAACAATATTGATTTTATTATAAATATTGAATTCGTCCTTGTAATATGGATTCTGGAGAAAAATTGTCTGTCACGAAAGAGTTAATAAAAAAATCCTCGAAGCTAGATCTAGCAGTTTATTCAGCATAATCACTCCACTTATTATACATTTTCAACTGCTTAGCAAAATCTTCCAACCGCTCACCAAAATGTTAAAGCTGCGTGAAAAATAGTCATCTCCTTCTACCACTACAGAAGGTACCAAGCTCTTCTGCCATGCTTTATCGTTACAAGAGTCAGATTAGGCGAAAAAATGGTAGAGCCTAATCTTCACTTTCCAGGCCTGATATACTTCAAAATCGATAACGCGGTCTGATAGGATGGCTTATTTTCCAATAAATAGCAACAACACAGTCACAATGGTAAATCTTCAAATTAATTCCATTCGTTAGTTCCACCAATTCAGACCTTTATAGCTAGGACACCCGATGGTTTCAGATACCAAACTGATGCTAGCATATATATAGATGTGTAGAAGACCCAACGAAAGGTGAGAGGTAATTCGAAACTTGGCCGCTAAACGCGACTTCTGTGGACAAATTGGGAAAGGGCTGGTTTCGAATATGGAAGGGAATCGTTTCCCTGAATAAAAACGGGGGTATTTGTTAGATTCCTGTCTGAGACACGATATTTCTTTCATAAGACTTCTCTGGCAAGGTTCGTTGTTATTAATTTCACTCTTTAAGGAACTAAGATTGCGAGGATATATATATATATATATATATATATATATATATATATATATATATATATATGTGTGTGTGTGTGTGTGTGTGTGTGTGCGCGCGCATGTGTGAGTTTAAAGAAGGGATGATTTGGCAGTAACGCCTCATTTATTGCCATGAAGACTCCAAGAGATAAAAATAGACCAATAATAATATTGAATGTTTGACTCTGTACTGAAAAACCCAGAACATAGTTTTCAACATATATAATGTCGCCACTATTGATAATTGTTGTTCGACTCCTGTGCTCAGATCTACTCATTGGTCTCTGTAATGATTCACAACATTTGACACCTGGAAAATTACAGCTAACCAATCGAATGTCAACCATTATCTATCTACCATCTCTCTACAATCACAATAATCACATCCAATGACACTCGACTGCTTCTTAGACCCTGTATGAAGAAACCAATAGTATAAAAAAAGATCTTTGTAAGACCTTTCCTGTATAGTGTCATTCTGCAAGGTTGTTCGTGCTAAAAGCAAAGAGAAATTCTACATTATTAATTGAAACGATCAATCTCTACAGTAATAACGCAATCGTCGTATTATATCATAGATAAATACGATATAATAAGAAGCTATATTTTCGGCGCAGCCCTCGTATATACGACGTCTGATATTATAAAAGGCTTCAAGATTTATCGATACATAAAAGTAATATTTATTAGAATCTGAACGCTTATCTACTGAATAAAGACAATATTTTCTGCAGAGTTTCGATAAAACCGGTTCGGTCTGCGCAGATATAAATAACTGACTGCCATTTGTATGACATTTCATGGATTCTAATGTTTCAGATTTATAGCCAAATTGCTGGTTTGGATATTTAAAATGGATCATAAGGTTGAGCTACTGAATTAAGAGGAATGTCTAAAAGCTTCAGAGCTTGGAAACTTTAAAAGAACACACGAAAATGGGAAAATGTTTGGAAACTTTCACCAAAATATGAAGAAATTCTCCGATAATTTTTTAAAACTAAAATACATGTTGTACAAAACAAAATAATTTCTCTCGCTGAACTCCCACGCGTATCAAGATAGAATTTATAAAACTTTACTTTGCTAAACTTTGAAAATTTAATGTATTATAACACCAAAGGAATACCAAAATGTAAAAATATATTGGTAATGGTAATATATTGGTAATGGTAAAATATATTTGGTAATGGTGAAATTAACAGTTTCCATACAGGAAACTTTCGGCGTTTTTTGACCGAATCTATGTTTTCCTTAAGTTTGTTTTTCAAGAATTTAGATTTGTCTGGTTGACACATGTTGGTGCTGTTGTGGCTTCATGAAGGGAATTACCATCCAAACATTTTATTTTGGATATTGGGGTATTGTGGGAAGTGCTTTTATTATTTTCCCTTCTAGTCACACGTGCTATCAATTTTCTTTTGCTTCTTTGTTATACTATTTATATTATTCGAACTATTGTCCTCATGTTTGTCACCATAGTTATTACAACGTTTCGGCTGTTGTACGCTCTGAACTTCTTCAGGTTGTTAGAATGTCGAACTGATCCTTTTATTTCGCTCACTGGGGTAGACTGTTCTAGTTCCACGTGCCATGTTTAATGGATGTCCTCAGGGACACATGGCACAGTGGATAAAGGCGTTGGTTAGATCCAGTGACAGGAACCAAAGAGTGTGAGTTCAATACCCAGTTAAGGCAGTGGAGAACTTTCAGAGGGAAATTAATAGGAGATAAATGATAACTGCCATCCATTAAACATGACACGTGGAATTAGAACAGTCTACCCCAGTGAGCGAAATAAAGGGTTCAGATTTACATTCCAACCACCTGAAGAAGGCCGGAGCGTACAGCGGCCGAAACGTTGTAATAAATATGTCGACAAAGATGAGGACTATAATCCGAATAATGTAAATAGTGTACATAGTTCCTCATCTCAGAAATATAGATAGATACTTCTTTGTTTTGTTTTCTAATATAAGGCGTTCATATCAAATTGTTATTTTTATTAAAAAAGTTTCATATATTTTGATTTCATATCACCAAAATAGGACGCAAACGAGATAATTGATGGGTGCTTGTCAGATGGACAGATAAGCAGCCGATGATGTTTTGTCTATTTACTTTCAATATGATCCTCTCATATTCACGGACAAGTTTCTTAGTATCGTTATTAAAGAAAAAGAGGAAATTATTATTTTGTTACATATTCATTTGTACCGAGTACTTTCGATTTTGCACAGTCTCATCATCAGGGTGCTCATTTTTAAGATAAAATTATTGTGTTCATCTGAACGATACATTTTTTGACTATGAAGTGAGAAACCCTAGTTCTGTACTGTATGGTTTAAATATCGCGCTGCATAGCTCAACGGAGGTAAAAAAGAAAAAAATCACTATTAATACCAAGATATATTAAACTATCTACTCTAATCATTTTAAAGCATTTGTGCAGTGTTTATAATAAATCTTATTGGTGTCAATTTATTATATAGATATCTTCAAAAAATGTTTAATATAGATATCTTCAACAATTTTTTTTAATTATATATATATATATATATATATATATATATATATATATATATATATATATATATATATTACATGAATCATTCATACAAAAAACAGATTAGTGAAGTTATTGATATAAATGGCGAGAATACATCTTCGCAAACAAATTTATTAAAATTTCATTAACCCACGAACCCCTATTGATATTGATGTAAGCATTTAGTGGCGACAGTTTGTTTCAGGCTTAAATGCAATCTTATATATATATATATATATATATATATATATATATATATATATATATATATATACACTATATTTTATATCCGCGGTACTTAGTGGAAAGCGCTCAATATCAGTGTTAGAGCTAATATAGATGTATGGATATGGGATTGTGACCCTGGTTTTCACGCTTTTGCGATCAGCAGACAACACCTAGGGTCACAAACTCATATCCATACAACTTATCCATTTCTGTTTTCTCGAGTCAAGTCTTCATCTGTTGGAAGTTTATTAAGCCTTCACTTCAACTAAATTTATTTTGATTACCAAAAATCGTGCGTTGATCCTCGAAATTGATCTACGATTTTTTTTAAGTAAAAGATCTTATGTATATGGGTATTCTATGTATTTACGACATTTCGACTCATCTTTCTGATAACTACAACTTTAGGACATATATGTTTTTCCAGTTTTAAGATGACTAAACGAATTTTGATTTTGTGAAAGTATTTAAGTATAAACGATGAGAGATGTAATAAACTAATTAAAAGTAAAAATAAATATTGGGTGATTTATTTATTTAAATAATTATTAATGTTTTATATTAGGTTTATATCATTTTATATTAGTATATATTATTAGTTTTAATATGATTATTTTAATTACTCAATTTATTCTTATTTTATTTGTTTATATTATTATACATTATCATTTTATTAATATCTGTTTAATTATTATTATGATTATTATTTTCAATTAGAATTTATATTTTATTTTATAATATATTTTATTGAATTTGCTTTTATTTGTTAATATTAGTATATTTTTTAACTAGACATTTTATTATATTTTATGCTATTATTATTATTATTATTATTATTATTATTGTATATTTATTTACTAATAATATTATAATTTTTAATTAATATTTTCATTATATTTTATATTATTATTTTTAATATTTGATTATTTATTATTATTGTCATTATTTATTAAAACAATTTATTATATATTATGAGTTACTAGAAATAATATTCTTGTATTTATTTATATTATTATTAATATTTCGTAATTATTATTTTATAGTTTTCAATTCCTTTATATTAAAATGTCATTATTTTTATTATTATGTACTTAAAATCATTATTTATTAATTCCTATTTTTATATTATATATTTATATTTGTTTCATATTATTTTAAATTATTAATTATTACTAGTTATTTATTTATTAAGATTATTAGTATTTTTTATGAGCATTTTTAATTAATGCAATTATTTTGATCTTATAGACTTATTAGTATTATTGATAATTATATATTAGTAAGAAAAAATAGTACATGTTTTATCACCACTCTTGAATAATAACGCCTATGTGATGTGGCATTCAGCCTACGAAATACTGGATTCGTCCAGAGGTTATAA